CCAAACAGTCAATTGCTGACTAGTGTCAAGGGGAAAGACGCGTAGATCCGGGACATTCTACCGACTGACTCTATACACATCTAGAATCAGTTTTTTACTGTCTACCGCATAACTGCTGGAAAGTTGGACACGAATCATGTGCTACTACCATCTAGGAAGTTTCATAGAGAGACAAAACACTATAAAATCAATATAAGATAATGTACATTCAGAAATAATAATAATAATATGAGTGTTATAATTTCTGAATGTACATAATGCTATACTAATGTTTATTCATATGTCTAATCATCGATTCCACACATGTATATAAATGAAGTAAAAAGTTGTGTGAGTGACTTCATACGATTAGTTTATGCTCAATACGTCATCAGTAAATATTACGGTACGACAAAAACACTGTGATTTGTCAAAATAAAATCTTATCTAAAATGGAGTTATATTATACCTCAGTACCAAAGTTTTATACTTATATCAATAACATGATCTTGTCTTCTGTCATTACAATATGAACAATAAATATCTCTTGTAATGATCAATCGTTCAACTTATTTCATTTAATTCGCCTTTGTTTCATCTAGAAACTTATCAACTTTCAACCAATCAACTATGTTTCCGAATTCCGCTCGTCAGTCAGTGAATCCTGGATACTGATCCCACTTCCATCAACTTCACTCTCGGAGTATTATTATTATTGTTTTTCCCTTGGGTTCCTAGTGGAACATATGGCTTCAACTGCACGTCTCCACTTGCCACTTCTGTCTCCCTTCTGCTGTACTTTTCACCTGCATCCATGTTAGTTAGTCCATACTGTTTCAACTCCTCTTCACACGATCTCCTCCATGTCACCCTCACACTGACGTCCCACTCGCCGCTTCCCTTTGGGGTGCTGCTCGAGCAATGGCCTGACGCGCGATGTCATCCAGCGGCCTCCTCAGCCGCGAGTGTCCAATCCATCTCCACTTCCTCCTGCATATTTGTTGTTGTTGGGCGATTGGTTCTTGTTTTGTTTGTTCCCAGTCAGAGTTTCTTGTTGGTGATTCTTTCTGGCCCGGCCATCTGATCTTCAGTATAGAGCGAGAGTTGACAGTTGTTGATAAAGGTCTGCAATGGCCTCTTGGAAACATTCTTTCTGACCCGACCGCCAACTTTCTGATCCGTATAGAAGAACTCGCTTACTTGACGTTTGTATTGAAAATCCAACTGAATTTTTTTGTTGATGCTGAGTGACGAAGATTTCCAGATTGGTTTCAAGTTGTTGAATGTGTGTATTCTCGCCTTCCCGTTTCTCGATCGATTTGAAAACCTCGTCCGTTCATTCTGTGGTGGAGGCAACGCTCCCTAGATAAGTGAATGAATGAAGTAACCTGTTTCAAATCCCTCCCACTGATGGTGATTGGCGCTGAATGTTGCTGCTGTTGTTGTTGTTTTTGGTTGGTTATTTTCATAACCCCGTCTTCTCTATGTTCACCTGAAGTCCTGTCTTCGCCGGCGGCTTCTTCGACCAGTTGATCGGTCGGTTTTCGCTTGTAAGTCTTCGATTTTGTGACAGTGACATCAAACATAAATCATCCACGCGCGAAATCCAGGTCTTCTAAGTTCTACACGTCGGCCCAGGATATCCTTGTCCTCTCGTTTCCCACTGTCTGACGCATAATCCAGTCAGTCCATCACAATTAGGAATATCATTCATTGGTGATAATAGACAGGCACCCTTGTCTGACTCCTGCGTTTACTCCAAACGCCTCACTGAGTTTTCCGTTGTGGATCACTCGACATGTGCTGTTGTCGTACAGCTGTTGAATAATGTTGATGAATATTTCGGGTACGCCGTAGTACTCGAGTAGTTTCCAAATGACTTAACGGTCAACGCTGTCTGTCGAAGCCTTCTCGAAGTCTATAAAGTTGAGGTAAGGGTTTGATTGCCATTCCATGCTTTGTTCTGTGATGATGATGCGTACAGTTGAAATTCGGTCAGAACATGATTTGCCTGACTTTCCTGAATCCAGCCAGCGTGTTCTGGTCGGAGTTCTGTCTCCAGTGCGTCCTTTATTCTCTCCAGGACGATGCGACTCAGGATTTTACTTGGCGTCGACAGGAGCATGATTCCTCACCAGTTCTTGCAGAGTGAGGCCTAAGTCGCCCTTCTTTGGTAGTTTCACCAGGTAACCTTTCCTCCAGTCAGTAGGCACCTCTCCCTCCTTCCAGACCTTTTGTAACAATTGAGTCAGAATGTCTCCTGTAGTCTCTGAGTCCGCTTTCAGTGCTTCAGGGGGTATTCCATCTGGTCCGGCTGCTTCTCCAGCTTTCAGAAACTTGATTGCATTCAAGACTTCACCTCTCGTTGAAGGATTGGTGTCAACTTGCAGTTGTGTACGCACTGTTGTTGGTATTTCTGGACGGGTTGCAGGTGGTGGTCGGTTGAAGAGTCCTTTGAAGTGATCCACCCAATGTTTAATCCACTCTCCCAGTATCTGTTCCATATTATCAGTCCTCACACAACACACACATATCACTGACAGTAAGGAAGAGGCTGAATCTGTTCCAGGTACCTGGAACCTCTAACAGCTACCGAAATTCACTCCACACAACCTCCTCCTCATCCCCTCACAACCACCACCAACATCACCAAAACAACGACGACGAAACATATGGCCATCCAGGCAGTTAAGTACTATGATTACACAAAAGATGTGTCCCATCATCAAATATTTGTAATTTCGATTGGTTCCCCAATAACTTGTCATATCGGCTACCATCATCATCAAACACAAATACAACATTCATTTCATTGACCACGCGTCTAGTCCTCAGTTTGGTACAGAGTGAATTCTCCTATCAGTGAAGCCTGCAATGTGGCCACTACTCTAGGTGGCTCACTATCACAGTGCTCTCTGAATGAGTTGATGTTAGATGATTAGAAGCAATCAGCCCCTGGAAGCCGTGTCCGACCTTGGTTCAGTGCCTATTACCACTCGTCATCAGATCGTACCTGACATCTTCAAGGAATTCACATAACATGTAGAATTCACACCTGTGTCATCCGGTGCTAAACGTCAATGAGTACCATTACCAGTGAGCCATTCGACCTTCTGTTAGACTGTGGTGGATTCCCCACCAATCTAATCCCACGTTAGCTGGTATAGCTCGTTGAGGAAGGCGACAGTTTGCCAAATATAACACCTGTCCTCGCCATCTCATCTCAATCCATTTACCTTGACAACCTCATCGATATACTTCTCCTCCTTACCTAACACTTCACCCCTAACCTCAATATTACTCACCCCATTATACCAGTCGACACGGAAGATAGAACGCAAACACCTATGGTCGAAAACAGCTAGCCCTCTCACCGCCTTCTCACTTTCAATGGCCATTTCTCACTGTCATCGAATACAATGGACTGGTGCACAGTAAACACGTCTTTTCATTGTACGTTGGACATCGAATTGGCAAATGCCACACGAGACGTTTTCATCTGTGACGAGATTTCATCAGCAGGAATCAGTCCATTGGAACTGATGACACCTCCCAAATAACTGAGCCCGTCAGCAACCTCAGCCAACACTTCACTCCGGCCATTCGCTAGGCTAGGAATCGATGTAATCCAGTCCTGTAGCACCATCTCTAAACTGATAGGAGTGAATTGCTTGCCAAACATTATTAGATTGCTCCTCAAATTGTTCAAAAGACTGTCCGCATCTTTACCCAGGAGATGGATACAAGCTTGTGATATTTCAGTACCTGTGGTGTTTCGTTTTTATTGGTTGAAATGGTTAGTCTCATTCACAAACTTTTCTCTTTTCCCAGCTTACCACAGACTAGACGAGGTTTAAGAGTGCATTATCAACCAGAAATCGAACCGATGACACGCCTCAATCTAGATATGATGCAGAAGATTTGTAACTCAGGTGGATGATTTTGATGTAGTTTTCTTCTCTGAGCTAAATGGATGAATGGTTTATTAGCGAGGCTTTCTTTACTGTAATAAGCAACATTTTCAGCGCATGCAACAATTTCACTTCACAAATAAACGATCCAACTCAGTGAACACAACTACACCAAAAAACGCCTCAACCTCGGTGGCACAGTGGTTAGGACTCTCGCCGACCATGCTTATGGTCCGGGGTTCGAGCCCACGCCCAAGCACACCTGATATCTATGGTCGGCCTGAGAAATTTGGGCTATCGATATCCACGCTGAAAATTCCATACTTGTACCAAAAATACAGTGTGGAATCAAGCTGTAATCAAAAATATAAATAAATAAATAATATTATTCCCTAACGTTCGGAGTGGAACATAAGGCTTCAACAACATATCTCCACTTTATTCTACTTTCTGTTGTCCTGTCTAGCTGGACCTACGATTTCCCATAGTCTTTTATCACCTCCTCACACGATCTCCTCCATGTCACCCATCTAGTCGCTTCCTATTCGGGTTCCATTCAAGCAACCACCTGGAGCGCAATATCATTCGACAGTCTCCTCACTGGCGTGTGCCCAATCGATCTTCACTTTGTCCCACATATTTCTTCAGCGATAGGTTCTTGGTTAGCTTCTTGTTTCTAATTCTTTCTGACAAGTAAATATATGCTATTTAACAGAAAATTCAACTACACAAGGTTAACCTTGACTTCATATACATTCGAGTAGCATAAAACACGCCACCATTATGGGCAAATTTAGGTATATTGGCACATCACAAAATAGGAGGAGGTATAAATAGTAAAATTAAAAAGCAATTCGTAAAGAAGAATAAGGAGACTCTTCTCTCCCTAGTGTGATTTCATATGCGAAACACACACACACACACACACCACAAACAATTCAAACAAGTGTTCATTTAAAACGAAGCCATTGAAACTTGAATATTCAATGATTAATGACGACAACAACAACAAAGAGGAGAAGAAGAAGGAGAATAGAAAGAGACTGTTGTACGACAGAAGCAATAAGATGAGAAGTTTCTTCTCCACGCCTTCTTTTGTTTTCTCCGCTTTTATCCGTATTTCTTACGTCCCTTCTCCGCCAGGATTTTACACTTATCATGTATCCATGAAAGAGGTACAACATTCACGAAGCAGCCTTGTAATGCATGTGTAAAATAACCCATTGTGAATTCTTCGACGCCTAACATATTCAACGCACTATTCACATAGTCATTAGGCGTTGGAATGAAAAACGAGGGTCGTTTAACTCGTGACATAGATGTGACAACATAAAATGGACAAACGGTTTGTATGATAACGTTTTGACAATTTGTTGTCGTTGTTGATGACGATGACGACGACGACGATAGACGGAGTTCCGCTGCAATCGATTGGGAAAAATGAAGAATAAAAGCTTTTGTCGCACCATACAATGAACAAAATGGTGTTGTGACAGTACCAGCGAATGAGCCGATATTTATAATGGCTGAACTAGCTTCCGAGTTTTGCTTTAATAACCTTGGAAGGACTAAATACGTCATTACAGCGATCGAGTGTGTATTACACGTGATCATATCTTGTATAAAATCACAATTCATAAATTTAGCGCCGCCATAATCATCAAAGTGTGGATAACTCATGCCAACATTATTTACTAAACAAGCAATAGATGACAGACTGGCGATTTCTTTTTCAATTGATTCATAAATATTATTCTAAAATAAAAAAGGAGAAAAAGTGAAAAGTGATTGAAACAAATTTCATGATAAAATGACAACTTTCCAAGTGCTAACTTATACAGAGGCAACAGTTATGTCACGAACTGACAGAAGTTAGAAGTTATGCGTGATTGAATTCCAGTCCAAGTGACTGGAATGGTCAGTGAACTTGGTCACGTAATCTTAAACTCCCGGATCCGATCTTTGCTGGGTTGGGTGGTTGTGGGTGGGCACTGGTGAAGCAGCTCTCCGGTACTCCAGGGTTTTCAATGGTTCTCAATCGGTGTCCAATCTTCAAGTACAAAAGAAATATTCGGTGCCTTAATGAGTAACGCCTTTAGACCATTTGACACGATGACTGTTTGGTTCAAACCTCACTGGGAAGTAATTACAGCCACCTAACCAATCTTAAACAGAACGAAATGAATATGTCCTGAATTCTACTGCTAGCCATCGATAAAATGAGTAACTTTGAGTTATCCGTCCTGGTCACACCAAGGAATCCGTTCAACCTGCCTGCCTGCCTGCCTATACGCTGGAACAAGTTTGATCAATTCAACTGGGGATAATAAATATGCATGAATAATTCAATTGAAGTATTTCATGTTTGCTTTAGTGTTCCACTTTAGGTTAAAATCTAGTGACTAGACCTCAGTGATTCCCTGATACCAGTGATGTTCATCAGAGAAACTCGCTGTCGCCACTAAAATACGTGATTGTAGTCGACTTTGGTGTCATCAGGACTAACTGGCTGGGTGACAGACTGACTGACTGACTTCCTATCATCAGGAGGAAGTTCCGAGTTCCTACCGTATGCAAGTGATATAATTCTTAAAGATGAAGGTAATAAAACACTAGTCTTCTGATAATACTGAGAAAAACTTTAGAGGTTTGAAATGCCATTCTATGCAGAAATCTTCATAAGTAGTGAAAATGTTGCTCATTCACTTATGCGTACTGCATTCACAAACACAGTTCTATCGCATATACATTATGCACGATAAGCCATCGCTTCCTCGTGGAACAGTGTAAGCTGACATAGAATGAGGCCAGAAAAGTCAGAGGGTCATCGAACCGAAACGCGGAATCAAATCCACGTTAGTCTTTGACTGTTGGTCTGAGCCAGCCACGTTAGCGAATGAAGACTATCTGGGGGCGTCATAGAGAGACTGAGAACCAATGGCTTGAGAGACTGTTGGCGATATGGCTCAAAATCGTTACCAATGACAAACAAGCAGTCAGCCTTTCTACTTCTATAGGTCGACTAAGTTCTCATTTCTCGTCCACGCCATCATTCTGTCCTCGGTGCATTTCTGGTCATTACAGTTATATTGTTTTCTATATAGTTCGCTCTATACTAAAGATCAGATGGCCGGGCCAGAAAGAATCACCAACAAGAAACTCTGACTGGGAACAAACAAAACAAGAACCAATCGCCCAACAACAACAAATATGCAGGAGGAAGTGGAGATGGATTGGACACTCGCGGATGAGGAGGCCGCAGGACGACATCGCGCGTCAGGCCATTGCTCGAGTAGAACCCGAAAGGGATGCGACGAGTGGGACGTCAGTGTGAGGGTGACATGGAGGAGATCGTGTGAAGAGGAGTTGAGTGCAGTTGAAGACCTATGTTCTTCTTTCAAAGTGTTTGTTACTACCCTGAAACTCAATCAGTACCAGCCTACCAAACCAGTAAATGTTAGGATGATATAGACGTTGTCAAAAATCTCAATGTCACCCACAAAGAAACAAATGCGACTTCAAGGAAATCAACGACACAAGTTGTAGAAAAGCTTTTCAAAAAAAGAAACAACAGCAAATTGAAACTATCCATTGTTGGTTTGTAAGTTTGTGAGAATAATCATTGAGAACCAATTTGAGCACTGAGAAGCAAGTTCGTCCCACTATGGAACTCCTCATCAGGATAGGACCCAGAGACTTTAATTCATGAGGCCACTACATCACATTACCATTCAACTAGTTGGACGGTTTGTGAAGAAATCAAACTTCCAAACAGTCAATTGCTGACTAGTGTCAAGGGGAAAGACGCGTAGATCCGGGACATTCTACCGACTGACTCTATACACATCTATCATCAGTTTTTTACTGTCTATCGCATAACTGCTGGAAAGTTGGACACGAATCATGTGCTACTACCATCTAGGAAGTTTCATAGAGAGACAAAACACTATAAAATCAATATAAGATAATGTACATTCAGAAATAATAATAATAATAATATGACTGCAATAATTTCTGAATGTACATAATGCTATACTAATGTTTATTCAAATGTTTAATCAATTCTGTTCATGTATATAAATGAAGTAAAAAGTTGTGTGAGTGACTTCATACGATTAGTTTATGCTCAATACGTCATCAGTAAATATTACGGTACGACAAAAACACTGTGATTTGTCAAAATAAAATCTTATCTAAAATGGAGTTATATTATACCTCAGTACCAAAGTTTTATACTTATATCAATAACATGATCTTGTCTTCTGTCATTACAATATGAACAATAAATATCTCTTGTAATGATCAATCGTTCAACTTATTTCATTTAATTCGCCTTTGTTTCATCTAGAAACTTATCAACTTTCAACCAATCAACTATGTTTCCGAATTCCGCTCGTCAGTCAGTGAATCCTGGATACTGATCCCACTTCCATCTACTTCACTCTCGGAGTATTATTATTATTGTTTTTCCCTTGGGTTCCTAGTGGAACATATGGCTTCAACTGCACGTCTTCACTTGCCACTTCTGTCTTACTTCCTTCTGCTGTACTTTTCACCTGCATCCATGTTAGTTAGTCCATACTCTTTCAACTCCTCTTCACACGATCTCCTCCATGTCACCCTTGCACTGTCGACCCACTCGCCGCTTCCCTTTCAGATTCCACTTGAGCAATTGCCTGACGCGCGATGTCACCCAGTGACCTCTTATGCAGCGAGTGTCCAATCCATCTCTAATTTCTCCTGCATATTTGCTGGGCGGCGATCGATTCTTGTTTTGTTTGTTTCCATAGTTTCTTGTCTGTGATTCTTTCTGGCCCGGCCATCTGATCTTCAGTATAGAGCGAAGATAGTTGTTGATGAAGGTAACGTCTGCAAATATTCTTTGTGACTCGCCCGCCAAGTTTCCGATCCATATAGAATAAGTGATTGACTTGATGTTTATATTGAAAATCCGAACGGATTTTGTTGTTGATGCTGAGTGACGAAGATTTCCAGAATGGTTTCAAGTTGTTGAATGTGGGTATTCTCGCCTTCCCGATTCCCGCTCGATCTGACATCCTCGTCCGTTCCAACTGCCTGTAGTTGAGACAATGCTTTCTAGATAAGCGAATGAAGTAACCTCTTTCAAATCTCTCCCACTGATGGTGATTGGCGCTGAATGTTGCTGCTGTTGTTGTTGTTTTTGGTTGGTTATTTTCATAACCCCGGTCTTCTCTATGTTCACCTGAAGTCCTGTCTTCGCCGGCGGCTTCTTCGACCAGTTGATCGGTCGGTTTTCGCTCGCTTGTAAGTCTTCGATTTTGTGACAGTGACATCAAACATAAATCATCCACGCGCGAAATCCAGGTCTTCTAAGTTCTACACGTCGGCCCAGGATATTCCTGTCTTCTCGTTTCCCACTGTCTGACGCATAATCCAGTCAGTCCATCACAATTAGGAATATTCATTGGTGATAATAGGCAGGCACCCTTGTCTGACTCCTGCGTTTACTCCAAACGCCTCACTGAGTTTTCCGTTGTGGATCACTCGACATGTGCTGTTGTCGTACAGCTGTTGAATAATGTTGATGAATATTTCGGGTACGCCGTAGTACTCGAGTAGTTTCCAAATTACTTAACGGTCAACGCTGTCTGTCGAAGGCCTTCTCGAAGTCTATAAAGTTGAGGTAAGGGTTTGATTGCCATTCCATGCTTTGTTCTGTGATGATGATGCGTACAGTTGCAATTCGGTCAGAACATGATTTGCCTGACTTTCCTGAATCCAGCCAGCGTGTTCTGGTCGGAGTTCTGTCTCCAGTGCGTCCTTTATTCTCTCCAGGATGATGCGATTCAGGATTTTACTTGGCGTCGACAGGAGCATGATTCCTCGCCAGTTCTTGCAGAGTGAGGCCTAAGTCGCCCTTCTTTGGTAGTTTCACCAGGTAACCTTTCCTCCAGTCATCAGGCATCTCTCCCTCCTTCCAGACCTTTTGTAACAATTGAGTCAGAATGTCTCCTGTAGTCTCTGGGTCCGCTTTCAGTGCTTCAGGGGGTATTCCATCTGGTCCGGCTGCTTCTCCAGCTTTCAGAAACTTGATTGCATTCAAGACTTCACCTCTCGTTGAAGGATTGGTGTCAACTTGCAGTTGTGTACGCACTGTTGTTGGTATTTCTGGACGGGTTGCAGGTGGTGGTCGGTTGAAGAGTCCTTTGAAGTGATCCACCCAATGTTTAATCCACTCTCTGGGTATCTGTTCCATATTATCAGTCCTCACACAACACACACATATCACTGACAGTAAGGAAGAGGCTGAATCTGTTCCAGGTACCTGGAAGCTCTAACAGTTGCCAAATTTCACTCCACACAACCTCCTCCTCCTCCCCTCACAACCACCACCAACATCACCACAACAACGACGACGAAACATATGGCCATCCAGGCAGTTAAGTACTATGATTACACAAAAGATGTGTCCCATCATCAAATATTTGTAATTTCGAGTGGTTCCCCAATAACTTGTCATATCGGCTACCATCATCATCAAACACAAATACAACATTCATTTCATTGATCACGCGTCTAGTCCTCAGTTTGGTACAGAGTGAATTCTCCTATCAGTGAAGCTTGCATTGTGGCCACTACCCTACGTGGCTCCCTATCACAGTGTTCTCGGAGTTGTTGTTAGATGACTGGAGGCAATCGGCCCCTGGAAGCCCTGTCCGACCTTGGTTCAGTGCCTATTACCAATCGTCATGAGATCGTGCCTGACATCTTCAAGGAATTCAGATGCCTCCTAGGATTCACACCTGTGTCATCCGGTGCTAAACGTCAATGAGTGCCATTACCAGTCAGCCATTCGACCTTCTGTTAGACTGTGGTGGATTCCCCACCAACCTAATCCCACGTTAGCTGGTATAGCTCGTTGAGGAAGGCGACAGTTTGCCAAATATAACACCTGTCCTCGCCATCTCATCTCAATACATTCACCTTGACAACCTCATCGATATACTTCTCCTCCTTACCTAACACTTCACCCCTAACCTCAATATTACTCACCCCATTATACCAGTCGACACGGAAGATAGAACGCAAACACCTATGGTCGAAAACAGCTAGCCCTCTCACCGCCTTCTCACTTTCAATGGCCATTTCTCACTGTCATCGAATACAATGGACTGGTGCACAGTAAACACGTCTTTTCATTGTACGTTGGACATCGAATTGGCAAATGCCACACGAGACGTTTTCATCTGTGACGAGATTTCATCAGCAGGAATCAGTCCATTGGAAATGATGACATCTCAAAAATGAGTGAGCCCCTCAGACAACACTTCACTCCGGCCATTCACTAGGCTAGGAATCGATGTAATCCAGTCCTGTAGCACCATCTCAAAACTGATAGGAGTGAATTGCATGCCAGACATTTGTACATTGCTCCTCAAATTGTTCAAAAGACTGTCCACATCTTCACACAGGAGATGGATACAAGCTTGTGATATTTCAGTACCTGTGGTGTTTCGTTTTTATTGGTTGAAATGATTAGTCTCATTCACAAACTTTTCTCTTTTCCCAGCTTGCCACAGACTAGACCAGGTTTAAGAGTGCATTGTCAACCAGAAATCGAACCGATGACACGCTTCAATCTAGATATGATGGAGGAGATTTGTAACTCAGGTGGATGATTTTGATGTAGTTTTCTTCTCTGAGCTAAATGGATGGATGGTTTATTAGCGAGGCTTTCATTGCCATACTAGGCAACATCTTCAGCGAATACACCAATCTGACTTCGCAAATAAACCATCCATCTCAGTGAACACAACTACACCAAAAAACGCCTCAACCTCTCACAGATATTAATTATATTACTATTATTATTATTCCCTTGGGTTCAGAGTGGAACATAAGGCTTCAACAACATATCTCCACTTTATTCTACTTTCTGTTGTCCTGTCTAGCTGGACCTACGATTTCCCATAGTCTTTTATCACCTCCTCACACGATCTCCTCCATGTCACCCATCTAGTCGTTTCCCATTCGGGTTCCATTCAAGCAACCAACTGGAGCGCAATATCATTCGACAGTCTCCTCACTGGCGTGTGCCCAATCGATCTTCACTTTGTCCCACATATTTCTTCAGCGATAGGTTCTTGGTTAGCTTCTTGTTTCTAATTCTTTCTGACAAGTAAATATATGCTATTTAACAGAAAATTCAACTACACAAGGTTAACCTTGACTTCATATACATTCGAGTAGCATAAAACACGCCACCATTATGGGCAAATTTAGGTATATTGGCACATCACAAAATAGGAGGAGGTATAAATAGTAAAATTAAAAAGCAATTCGTAATGAAGAATAAGGAGACTCTTCTCTCCCTAGTGTGATTTCATATGCGAAACACACACACACCACAAACAATTCAAACAAGTGTTCATTTAAAACGAGGCCATTGAAACTTGAATATTCAATGATCAATGACGACAACAACAACAAAGAGGAGAAGAAGGAGAATAGGAAGAGACTGTTGTACGACAGAAACAATAAGATGAGAAGTTTCTTCTCCACGCCTTCTTTTGTTTTCTCCGCTTTTATCCGTATTTCTTACGTCCCTTCTCCGCCAGGATTTTACACTTATCATGTATCCATGAAAGAGGTACAACATTCACGAAGCAGCCTTGTAATGCATGTGTAAAATAACCCATTGTGAATTCTTCGACGCCTAACATATTCAACGCACTATTCACATAGTCAGTAGGCGTTGGAATGAAAAACGAGGGTCGTTTAACTCGTGACATAGATGTGACAACATAAAATGGACAAACTGATTGTATGATAACTTTTCGACCATTTGTTGTCGTTGTTGATGACGATGACGACGACGACGATAGACGGAGTTCCGCTGCAATCGATTGGGAAAAATGATGAACAAAAGCTTTTGTCGCACCATACAATGAACCAAATGGTGTTGTGACAGTACCAGCGAATGAGCCGATATTTATAATGGCTGAACTAGCTTCCGAATTTTGCTTTAATAACCTTGGAAGGACTAAATACGTCATTACAGCGATCGAGTGTGTATTACACGTGATCATATCTTGTATAAAATCACAATTCATAAATTTAGCGCCGCCATAATCATCAAAGTGTGGATAACTCATGCCAACATTATTTACTAAACAAGCAATAGATGACAGACTGGCGATTTCTTTTTCAATTGATTCATAAATATTATTCTAAAATAAAAAAGGAGAAAAAGTGAAAAGTGATTGAAACAAATTTCATGATAAAATGACAACTTTCCAAGTGCTAACTTATACAGAGGCAACAGTTATGTCACGAACTGACAGAAGTTAGAAGTTATGCGTGATTGAATTCCAGTCCAAGTGACTGGAATGGTCAGTGAACTTGGTCACGTAATCTTAAACTCCCGGATCCGATCTTTGCTGGGTTGGGTGGTTGTGGGTGGGCACTGGTGAAGCAGCTCTCCGGTACTCCAGGGTTTTCAATGGTTCTCAATCGGTGTCCAATCTTCAAGTACAAAAGAAATATTCGGTGCCTTAATGAGTAACGCCTTTAGACCATTTGACACGATGACTGTTTGGTTCAAACCTCACTGGGGAATAATTACAGCCAGCTAACCAATCTTAAACAGAACGAAATGAATATGTCCTGAATTCTACTGCTAGCCATCGATAAAATGAGTAAATTTGAGTTATCCATCCAGGCCATACCAAGGAATCCGTTCAACCTGCCTGCCTGCCTGCCTATACGCTGGAACAAGTTTGATCAATTCAACTGGGGATAATAAATATGCATGAATAATTCAATTGAAGTATTTCATGTTTGCTTTAGTGTTCCACTTTAGGTTAAAATCTAGTGACTAGACCTCAGTGATTCCCTGATACCAGTGATGTTCATCAGAGAAACTCGCTGTCGCCACTAAAATACGTGATTGTAGTCGACTTTGGTGTCATCAGGACTAACTGGCTGGGTGACAGACTGACTGACTTCCTATCATCAGGAGAAAGTTCCGATTTCCTACAGTATGCAAGTGATATAATCCCCCCAGGTGAAAGGAATAAAAACACTAGTCTTCTGATAATACTGAGAAAAACTTTAGAGGTTTGAAATGCCATTCTATGCAGAAATCTTCATAAGTAGTGAAAATGTTGCTCATTCACTTATGCGTACTGCATTCACAAACACAGTTCTATCGCATATACATTATGCACGATAAGCCATCGCTTCCTCGTGGAACAGTGTAAGCTGACATAGAATGAGGCCAGAAAAGTCAGACGGTCATCGAACCGAAACGCAGAATCAAATCCATGTTAGTCTTTGACTGTTGGTCTGAGCCAGCCACGTTAGCGAATGAAGACTATCTGGGTGGCGTCATCGAGAGACTGAGAACCAATGGCTTGAGAGACTGTTGGCGATATGGCTCAAAATCGTTACCAATGACAAAGAAGCAGTCAGCCTTTCTACTTGTATAGGTCGACTAAGTACTCATTTCTCGTCCATGCCATCATTCTGTCCTCGGTGCATTTCTGGTCATTACAGTTATATTGTTTTCTATATAGTTCGCTCTATACTAAAGATCAGATGGCCGGGCCAGAAAGAATCACCAACAAGAAACTCTGACTGGGAACAAACAAAACAAGAACCAATCGCCCAACAACAACAAATATGCAGGAGGAAGTGGAGATGGATTGGACACTCGCGGCTGAGGAGGCCGCTGGATGACATCGCGCGTCAGGCCATTGCTCGAGTAGAACCCGAAAGGGATGCGACGAGTGGGACGTCAGTGTGAGGGTGACATGGAGGAGATCGTGTGAAGAGGAGTTGAGTGCAGTTGAAGACCTACGTTCTTCTTTCAAAGTGTTTGTTACTACCCTGAAACTCAATCAGTACCAGCCTACCAAACCAGTAAATGTTAGGATGATATAGACGTTGTCAAAAATCTCAATGTCACCCACAAAGAAACAAATGCGACTTCAAGGAAATCAACGACACAAGTTGTAGAAAAGCTTTTCAAGAAAAAGAAACAACAGCAAATTGAAACCATCCATGTTGGTTTGTAAGTTTGTGAGAATAATCATTGAGAACCAATTTGAGCACTGAAAAGCAAGTTCGTCCCACTATGGAACTCCTCAGCAGGATCGGACCCAGAGACTTTAATTCATGAGGCCACTACATTACATTACCATTCAACTAGTTGGACGGTTTGTCAAGAAATCAAACTTCCAAACAGTCAATTGCTGACTAGTGTCAAGGGCAACGACGCATAGATCCGGGACTTTCTACCAACTGACTCTATACACATCTAGAATCAGTTTTTTACTGTATGTTGAATAACTGCTGGAAAGTTGGACACGAATCATGTGCTGTTACAATCTAGGAAGTTTCATAGAGAGACAAAACACTATAAAATCAATATAAGATAATGTACATTCAGAAATAATAATAATAATATGAGTGTTATAATTTCTGAATGTACATAATGCTATACTAATGTTTATTCATATGTCTAATCATCGATTCCACACATGTATATAAATGAAGTAAAAAGTTGTGTGAGTGACTTCATACGATTAGTTTATGCTCAATACGTCATCAGTAAATATTACGGTACGACAAAAACACTGTGATTTGTCAAAATAAAATCTTATCTAAAATGGAGTTATATTATACCTCAGTACCAAAGTTTTATACTTATATCAATAACATGATCTTGTCTTCTGTCGTTACAATATGAACAACAAATATCTCTTGTAATGATCAATCGTTCAACGTATTTCATTTAAATCTTCTTCGTTTCATCTAGGAACTAATCAACTCTCAACCCATCAACTATGCTGGCCGATTCCGCTCGTCAGTCAGTGAATCCTGGATACTGATCCCACTTCCATCTACTTCACTCTCGGAGTATTATTATTATTATTGTTTTTCCCTTGGATTCCTAGTGGAACATAGGGCTTCAACTGCACGTCTTCACTTGCCACTTCTGTCTTACTTCCTTCTGCTGTACTTTTCACCTGCATCCATGCATGTTAGTCTATACTCTTTCAACTCCTCTTCACACGATCTCCTCCATGTCACCCTTGCACTGTCGACCCACTCGCCGCTTCCCTTTCAGATTCCACTTGAGCAATTGCCTGACGCGCGATGTCACCCAGTGACCTCTTATGCAGCGAGTGTCCAATCCATCTCTAATTTCTCCTGCATATTTGCTGGGCGGCGATCGATTCTTGTTTTGTTTGTTTCCATAGTTTCTTGTCTGTGATTCTTTCTGGCCCGGCCATCTGATCTTCAGTATAGAGCGAGAGTTGACAGTTGTTGATAAAGGTCTGCAATGGCCTCTTGGAAACATTCTTTCTGACCCGACCGCCAACTCTCTGATCCGTATAGAAGAACTCGCTTACTTGACGTTTGTATTGAAAATTCAACTGAATTTTGTTGTTGATGCTGGCTGAGGGACGAAGATTTCCAGATTGGTTTCAAGTTGATGAATGTGTGTGTTCTCGCCTTCCCGTTTCTCGATCGATTTGACAACCTCGTCCTTTCATCATGTGGTGGAGACAACGCTCCCTAGATAAGTGAGTGAATGAATTAACCTCTTTCAAATCCCTCATACTGATGGTGATTGGCGCTGGATATTGCTGCTGTTGTTGTTGTTGTTTTTGGTTGGTTATTTTCATAACCACCGTCTTCTCTATGTTCACCTGAAGTCCTGTCTTCGCCAGCGGCTTCTTCGACCAGTTGATCGGTCGGTTTTCGCTCGCTTGTAAGTCTTCGATTTTGTGACAGTGACATCAAACATAAATCATCCACGCGCGAAATCCAGGTCTTCTAGGTTATTCACGTTGGCCTAGGACATCCTTATCCTCTCGTTTCCCACTGCCTGACGCATAATCCAGTCAGTCCACCACAATTAGGAATATCATTGGTGATAATAGGCAAGCACCCTTGTCTGACTCCTGCGTTTACTCCAAACGCCTCACTGAGTTTTCCGTTGTGGATCACTTGACATGTGCCGTTGTCGTACAGCTGTTGAATAATGTTGATGAATATTTCGGGTACGCCGTAGTACACGAGTAGTTTCCAAATGACTTAACGGTCAACGCTGTCTGTCGAAGCCTTCTCGAAGTCTATAAAGTTGAGGTAAGCGTTTGATTGATTTCCATTCCATGCTTCGTTCTGTGATGATTATGCGTACAGTTGAAATTCGGTCAGAACATGATTTGCCTGACTTTCCTGAATCCAGCAAGCGTGTTCTGGTCGGAGTCCTTTATTCTCTCCAGGATGATGCGACTCAGGATTTCACTTGGCGTCGACAGGAGCATGATTCCTCGCCAGTTCTTGTAGAGTGGGGCCTAAGTCGCCCTTCTTTGGTAGTTTCACCAGGTAACCTTTCCTCCAGTCAGTAGGCACCTCTCCCTCCTTCCAGACCTTATTCAATAATGGAGTCAGGATATCTGTTGTCATCTCTAGGTCCGCTTTCAGTGCATCACGGGGTATTCCATCTGGTCCGGCTGCTTCTCCAGCTTTCAGAAACTTGATTGCATTCAAGACTTCACCTCTCGTTGAAGGATTGGTGTCAACTTGCAGTTGTGTACGCACTGTTGTTGGTATTTCTGGACGGGTTGCAGGTGGTGGTCGGTTGAAGAGTCCTTTGAAGTGATCCACCCAATGTTTAATCCACTCTCTGGGTATCTGTTCCATATTATCAGTCCTCACACAACACACACATATCACTGACAGTAAGGAAGAGGCTGAATCTGTTCCAGGTACCTGGAAGCTCTAACAGTTGCCAAATTTCACTCCACACAACCTCCTCCTCCTCCCCTCACAACCACCACCAACATCACCACAACAACGACGACGAAACATATGGCCATCCAGGCAGTTAAGTACTATGATTACACAAAAGATGTGTCCCATCATCAAATATTTGTAATTTCGAGTGGTTCCCCAATAACTTGTCATATCGGCTACCATCATCATCAAACACAAATACAACATTCATTTCATTGATCACGCGTCTAGTCCTCAGTTTGGTACAGAGTGAATTCTCCTATCAGTGAAGCTTGCATTGTGGCCACTACCCTACGTGGCTCCCTATCACAGTGTTCTCGGAGTTGTTGTTAGATGACTGGAGGCAATCGGCCCCTGGAAGCCCTGTCCGACCTTGGTTCAGTGCCTATTACCAATCGTCATGAGATCGTGCCTGACATCTTCAAGGAATTCAGATGCCTCCTAGGATTCACACCTGTGTCATCCGGTGCTAAACGTCAATGAGTGCCATTACCAGTCAGCCATTCGACCTTCTGTTAGACTGTGGTGGATTCCCCACCAACCTAATCCTACATTAGCTGGTATAGCTCGTTGAGGAAGGCGACAGTTCGCCAAATATAACACCTGTCCTCGCCATCTCATCTCAATCCATTTACCTTGACAACCTCATCGATATACTTCTCCTCCTTACCTAACACTTCACCCCTAACCTCAATATTACTCACCCCATTATACCAGTCAACATGGGAGATAGAACTCGAACACCTATGGTCGAAAACAGCTAGCCTTCTAACCATATATGCCACTTTCATTGGCCATTTCTCACTGTCATCGAATACAACGGACTGGTGCACAATAAACACGTCTTTTCATTGTACGTTCGACATCGAGTGGGCAAATGCCACACTAGATGTTTTTATCTGTGATGAGATTTCATCACCAGTAATCAGTCCACTGGAACTGATGACACCTCCCAAATAACTGAGTCCGTCAGCCTAATCGGCCAACACTTCACTCCGGCCTTTCGCTAGGCTAGGAGTCGACGTAATCCAGTCCTGTAGCACCATTTCAAAACTGATAGGAGTTAATCGTATGTCAAACATTTTTAGATTGCTCCTCAATGTGTTCAAAAGACTGTCCACATCTTCACACAGGAGATGGATACAAGCTTGTGATATTTCAGTACCTGTGGTGTTTCGTTTTTATTGGTTGAAATGGTTAGTCTCATTCACAAACTTTTCTCTTTTCCCAGCTTGCCACAGACTAGACCAGGTTTAAGAGTGCATTGTCAACCAGAAATCGAACCGATGACACGCTTCAAACTAGATATGATGGAGGAGATTTGTAACTCAGGTGGATGATTTTGATGTAGTTTTCTTCTCTGAGCTAAATGGATGGATGGTTTATTAGCGAGGCTTTCATTGCCATACTAGGCAACATCTTCAGCGAATACATCAATCTGACTTCGCAAATAAACCATCCATCTCAGTGAACACAACTACACCCAAAAAACGCCTCAACCTCTCACAGATATTAATTATATTACAATTATTATTATTCCCTTGGGTTCAGAGTGGAACATAAGGCTTCAACAACATATCTCCACTTTATTCTACTTTCTGTTGTCCTGTCTAGCTGGACCTACGATTTCCCATAGTCTTTTATCACCTCCTCACACGATCTCCTCCATGTCACCCATCTAGTCGTTTCCCATTCGGGTTCCATTCAAGCAACCAACTGGAGCGCAATATCATTCGACAGTCTCCTCACTGGCGTGTGCCCAATCGATCTTCACTTTGTCCCACATATTTCTTCAGCGATAGGTTCTTGGTTAGCTTCTTGTTTCTAATTCTTTCTGACAAGTAAATATATGCTATTTAACAGAAAATTCAACTACACAAGGTTAACCTTGACTTCATATACATTCGAGTAGCATAAAACACGCCACCATTATGGGCAAATTTAGGTATATTGGCACATCACAAAATAGGAGGAGGTATAAATAGTAAAATTAAAAAGCAATTCGTAAAGAAGAATAAAGAGACTCTTCTCTCCCTAGTGTGATTTCATATGCGAAACACACACACACCACAAACAATTCAAACAAGTGTTCATTTAAAACGAAGCTATTGAAACTTGAATATTCAATGATCAATGACGACAACAACAACAACAAAGAGGAGAAGAAGAAGGAGAATAGAAAGAGACTGTTGTATGACAGAAACAATAAGATGAGAAGTTCCTTCTCCACGCCTTCTTTTGTTTTCTCCGCTTTTATCCGTATTTCTTACGTCCCTTCTCCGCCAGGATTTTACACTTATCATGTATCCATGAAAGAGGTACAACATTCACGAAGCAGCCTTGTAATGCATGTGTAAAATAACCCATTGTGAATTCTTCGACGCCTAACATATTCAACGCACTATTCACATAGTCAGTAGGCGTTGGAATGAAAAACGAGGGTCGTTTAACTAGTGACATAGCTGTGACAACATAAAATGGACAAACTGATTGTATGATAACTTTTCGACCATTTGTTGTCGTTGTTGATGACGATGACGACGACGACGATAGACGGAGTTCCGCTGCAATCGATTGGGAAAAATGAAGAATAAAAGCTTTTGTCGCACCACACAGTGAATGAAATGGTGATGTTACAGTCGCGACAAATGAGCCAATATTTATAATGGCTGAACTAGCTTCCGATTTTTGCTCTAATAACCTTGGGAGGACTAAATACGTCATTACAGCGATCGAGTGTGTATTACACATGATCATATCTTGTATAAAATCCCAATTTATGCATTTAGCGCCACCATAATCATCAAAGTGTGGATAACTCATGCCACCATTATTTACTAAACAAGCAATAGATGACAGACTGGCGATTTCTTTTTCAATTGATTCATAAATATTATTCTATAATAAAAAAGGAGAAAAAGTGGAAAGTAATAAAGATAAAATGACAACTTTTCAAGTGTTCACTTGTAGGGAGGGAAGCATTATGTCACGAATTCACAGAAGTTAGAAGTTATGCGTGATTCAAGTGACTGTCCAGTCCAGTCCAAGTGACTGGAATGGTCAGTGAACTTGGTCACGTAATCTTAAACTCTCGGATCCGATCTCTGGTGGGTTGGGTGGTTGTGGGTGGGCACTGGTAACGAGTCCTGAGCTAGGACAAAACAGCTCTCTGGTACTCCATGGTTTTCAATGGTTCTCAATCGGTAAAACAGAAATATTTGGTGCCTTAATGAGTAACGCCTATCGACCATTTGACACGACGAGTGTTTGGTTCAAACCTCACTGGGAAGTAATTACAGCCAGTTAACCAATCTTAAACAGCACGAAATGAATATGTCCTGAATTCTACTGCTAACCATCGATAAAATCAGTAACTTTGAGTTATCCATCCTGGTCATACCAAGGAATCCATTCAACCTGCCTGCCTGTCTGTCTGCCTGCCTATACGCTGGAACAAGGTTGAGCGATTAAACTGGGGATCATAAATATGCATGAATAACTCAGTATCTCTTTAGTGCTCCACTTTTGGTTGAAATCTACTAACTAGACCTCAGTGATTCCCTGATACCAGTGATGTTCATCAGAGAAACTCGCTGTCGCCACTTAAAATACATGATTGTAGTCGACTTTGGTGTCTTCAGGGCTGACTGACTTCCTATCATCAGGAGAAAGTTCCGATTTCCTACCGTATGCATTTGATATAATCCTTCCAGCTGAAAGCAATATAATACTAATCTTCTGATAATACTGAGAAAAACTTTAAATGTTTGAAATGCCATTATATGAAGAAATCTTCATAAGTAGTGAAAATGTTGCTCACTGACTTATGTGTACTGGATTCACAAACACAGTTCTATCGCATATATATTATGCACGATAAGCCATCGCCTTTCTCGTGGAGTAGTGTAAGCTGACATAGAATGAGGCCGAAAAAATTCAGAGGGTCATCCAACCAAAACGCGAGATCAAATCCATGTTAGTCCTTGACTGTTGGTCTGAGCCAGCCACTATCTGGTTGGGGACGTCGAGAGACTAAGAACCAATGACTTCAGACTGTTGAAGTTATGGTTCAGAATCGTTACCAATGACAAAGAAGCAGTCAGCCTTTCTAATCTTGTAGGTCGACTAAGTTCTCATTTTTCGTCCATGTCATTATTCCGATTTCTGTAGATTTCTGGTTATTACAGTTCATTTCAAGTGTTAGTATTACCCCGAAACTCAATCAGTATCAGCCAGGCGAACCAGTGAATGTTAGGATAATATAGACGTTATCAAAAATCTCAATGTCACCCACCAAGAAATAAGTGCGACTTCAAGGAAATCAACGACACAAGTTATAGAAAGACTATTCAAAAAAACAACAACAGCAAATTGAAACCATCCATTGTTGGTTTGTAGGTTCGTGAGCATAATCACTGAGAACCAATTTGAATACTGAAAGGCCAGTTCGTCCCATTGTGGAACTCCTCAGCAGGATCGGACCCAGAGACTTTAATTCATGAGGCCACTACATTACATTACCATTCAACTAGTTGGACGGTTTGTCAAGAAATCAAACTTGAAATCAGTCAATTGCTGACTGGTGTCAAGGGCAACGACGCATAGATCCGGGACTTTCTACCAACTGACTCTATACACATCTAGAATCAGTTTTTTACTGTATGTTGAATAACTGCTGGAAAGTTGGACACGAATCATGTGCTGTTACAATCTAGGAAGTTTCATAGAGAGACAAAACACTATAAAATCAATATAAGATAATGTACATTCAGAAATAATAATAATAATATGAGTGTTATAATTTCTGAATGTACATAATGCTATACTAATGTTTATTCATATGTCTAATCATCGATTCCACACATGTATATAAATGAAGTAAAAAGTTGTGTGAGTGACTTCATACGATTAGTTTATGCTCAATACGTCATCAGTAAATATTACGGTACGACAAAAACACTGTGATTTGTCAAAATAAAATCTTATCTAAAATGGAGTTATATTATACCTCAGTACCAAAGTTTTATACTTATATCAATAACATGATCTTGTCTTCTGTCGTTACAATATGAACAACAAATATCTCTTGTAATGATCAATCGTTCAACGTATTTCATTTAAATCTTCTTCGTTTCATCTAGGAACTAATCAACTCTCAACCCATCAACTATGCTGGCCGATTCCGCTCGTCAGTCAGTGAATCCTGGATACTGATCCCACTTCCATCTACTTCACTCTCGGAGTATTATTATTATTATTGTTTTTCCCTTGGATTCCTAGTGGAACATAGGGCTTCAACTGCACGTCTTCACTTGCCACTTCTGTCTTACTTCCTTCTGCTGTACTTTTCACCTGCATCCATGCATGTTAGTCTATACTCTTTCAACTCCTCTTCACACGATCTCCTCCATGTCACCCTTGCACTGTCGACCCACTCGGCGCTTCTCTTTCAGATTCCACTTGAGCAATGGCCTGACGCGCGATGTCACCCAGTGGCCTCCTCAGCTGCGAGTGTCCAATCCATCTCTAATTTCTCCTGCATATTTGCTGGGCGGCGATCGATTCTTGTTTTGTTTGTTTCCATAGTTTCTTGTCTGTGATTCTTTCTGGCCCGGCCATCTGATCTTCAGTATAGAGCGAAGATAGTTGTTGATGAAGGTAACGTCTGCAAATATTCTTTGTGACCCGCCCGCCAAGTTTCCGATCCATATAGAATAAGTGATTGACTTGACGTTTATATTGAAAATCCGACTGAATTTTGTTGTTGATGCTGGCTGAGGGACGAAGATTTCCAGAATGGTTTCAGGTTGATGAATGTGTGTTTACGCCTTTACGATTCCCGCTCGATCTGACATCCTCGTCCGTTTAAACTGCCTGTAATTGAGACAGTGCTTTCTAGATAAGCGAATGAATAAAGTAACCTGTTTCAAATCCCTCCCACTGATGGTGATTGGCGCTGGATATGGCTGCTGTTGTTGTTGTTGTTTTTGGTTGGTTATTTTCATAACCACCGTCTTCTCTATGTTCACCTGAAGTCCTGTCTTCGCCGGCGGCTTCTTCGACCAGTTGATCGGTCGGTTTTCGCTCGCTTGTAAGTCTTCGATTTTGTGACAGTGACATCAAACATAAATCATCCACGCGCGAAATCCAGGTCTTCTAAGTTCTTCACGTCGGTCCAGGATACTCCTGTCTTCTCGTTTCCCAATCACTGTCTGACGCATAATCCAGTCAGTCCACTACAATTAGAAATATCATTCACTGGTAATTATAAGCACACTTTTCTGACTCCTGCGTCTACTCCAAACGCCTCACTGAGTTTTCCGTTGTGGATCACTTGACATGTGCCGTTGTCGTACAGCTGTTGAATAATGTTGATGAATATTTCGGGTACACCGTAGTACTCAAGTAGTTTCCAAATGACTTCACAGTCAACACTGTCGGTCGAAGGCCTTCTCGAAGTCTATAAAGTTGAGGTAGAGGTTTGATTGATGGCCATTCCATGCTTCGTTCTGTGATGATGATGCGTACAGTTGCAATTCTGTCAGAACATGACTTGCCTGACTTTCCGCTGCAATCGATTGGGAAAAATGATGAACAAAAGCTTTTGTTGCACCATACAACGAACCAAATGGTGATGTTACAGTCCCGACAAATGAGCCGATATTTATAATGGCTGAACTAGTTCCCGATTTTTGCTTTAATAACCTTGGAAGGACTAAATACGTCATTACAGCGATCGAGTGTGTATTACACATGATCATATCTTGTATAAAATTACAATTCATGAATTTAGCGCCGCCATAATCATCAAAGTGTGGATAACTCATCCCAACATTATTTACTAAACAAGCAATAGATGACAGACTGGCGATTTCTCTTTCGATTGATTCATAAACATCATTCTAAATTAAGAAAGGAGAAAAAGTGGAAAGTGATAAAGATAAAATGACAACTTTTCGAAGTGTTCACTTGTGGAGAGGGAAGCATTATGTCACGAATTCACAGAAGTTAGAAGTTATGAGTGATTGAATTCCAGTCCAAGTGGCTGGATTTCAATTAAAAAAGCAATATTTTGTGCCATAATGAGTAACGCCTCTAAACAATTTGGCACGATGAGTTTTTGGGTCAAACCAATCTTAAATATAACGAAATGAATGTGTCCTGAATTCTACTGCTAACCATCGATAAAATGAGTAACTTTCAGTTATCCGTCCTGGTCATACCAAGGAATCCATTCAACCTGCCCGCCTGCCTATACGTTGGAACAAGGTTGATCGATTCAACTGGGGATCATAAATATGCATGAATAATTCAGTATCTCTTTAGTGTTCCACTTTAGGTTAAAATCTAGTGACTAGACGTCAGTGATTCCCTGATACCAGTGATGTTCATCAGAGAAACTCGCTGTCGCCACTAAAATACGTGATTTTAGTCGACTTTGGTGTCTTCAGGACTGACTGGTTGGCTGACAGACTGACTGACTGACTTCCTATCATCAGGAGAAAGTTCCGATTTCCTACAGTATGCAAGTGATATAATCCTTCCAGGTGAAAGGAATAAAAACACTAGTCTTCTGATAATACTGAGAAAAACTTTAGAGGTTTGACATGCCATCCGTCCTCACTGAATGTAAGTCAACATTATAGCAGGACTGGTCTTGGCTAAAGAGATATTTCAAGAGTAAATAATAACAGATTGTTGGTGAAATTGCTTGATATCCTTTATGACAGCACAAATGAACTCAATCCCTTGACCATTGGGTACTTTTTAAAATTAATTTTCTTCTTCAACAAACTTTTACCTCAATATCAACCCTATCCAGACCTTTACTAATCCTGCTAAGTCATGAAAGTGGGGAGCAAAGCAAGATGGTGGGTGATGATCAGAAATGTCTCGTGTGCTAATGGGAGTGTGTGGGTAATTACTGCTTCCCCTGGATCCCCAACGTGGAAGTATATTTATTCTTGAAATATCTGAAGCAGGAGTATAATTCCAGAGGACAACTGCTAAAGGCTCGTCATTCATATACTACCCATTGAGGTTGGTTTTAGGAAGTGTATTTGTATTAAGATCTTACCACCGACTACGAAGTACAACAATATAAGTCAGGCGGCATAACTTTTCTGAGTCGACCGTTTCTAATCTTTTTCACCAGAGCGGATAAGCAACACAACTGATATTTTGGTCATATGAGGGGAACACATTCGCCAGCAGTACGACTTCGAACACAGACCCCCCCCCTCAATATACTGTAAACCAGTTATACTAAGATGGTGACTGCTTTTAGTTTAACTGGATACCTAAACGACTTTTCTGGTTGTAATACGACCTGCAGGAACATCCGTTGCAGCCAGTGTAGCTTGGTGCAGCTCATTGGGTCACTGCAATACACAAGCCGGATCATCTTGTTCGGCTGGTAAGCTATCGATAGAGTGTAATGAGAGTACTTCCCTTCTTTTTACTAAATATAAATGTGACTGACTAAGTGATTTAGTCAAACTACTACTTCACTGAATAAACCTTCCTCTTACTTAATGATTACGACAAGAATGGTAAATAGTATCAGAAACCAAATAATATTCATGTCCCGGCCGATAACTGCTACCTTGTCGTGGTGGTCAGGCTTGAATACCGTAGTGACCCAACATGCTAAACTGACTGGGACTCTGTCCCTGAAGGTCCTACCATGTCAGGAAGGTTGTTTGAATAGCGGTTAAACTAAAAGCAGTTACAATGGGGTACATGGGCTCCATTATCCAATCGGATCAAATGGCGTATGAACCCATATGGGTCACTGGCAACCATGGGAATGCAGCTCCTGACGCTGCTCTGCTGCCTTGCGGATTAGACTCCAAGTCAAAGGCTCGGGGGTTGGTCCTTTAAGAAAACCACCTGCTTCGGTCTGGACGCCCGGACAGTATCTCAGCCCTCACACAATGAATTGAATGAAGTGACAAACAATCAATGAAACTTGTCGTGTGCTATTACACGTGTCGCAATTTCCTTCTTTCTTCCCTTCCCGATGATAGTTAACGAAAACTGTTTGAACTTGTTAAGCATGACTGTTTTCCTCCTAGATGAAGTTTTTTATCCGTTCTCTACTTATATATTTTTTTTCTCTTCTTTCTTTTTTTTCTTTTGATCTATGTTGTTTTATTATTATTGTGCGGCGCATCCTTCTTGGTGCCATATTGTACCAAGTTTTTACGCGTTTAAATAAATAAATAATATTCATGTCTGTTGCTGAATACCAATAGAGGGGCCGTATATTTAGCTGCATAGATTACATCTCCATATTATCATTATTACTACCTCGTGTGCTTTACTACGTAATTTTAACGAGACCTAATTGATTAGAACAGACAAACAGGTTAACAAACAAGTGTACGCAAACATCTATACACTTAGTATCAAGTTACCACTGGATTATAAACGTGTAGAAACATGTAGTTATATTGATTATAGTCATTAGAGTTAAACTAAAAGTTCTAACTCCGTTTCAACACAGAACACCACTCTATGTAGGCCCACAAAGGCAAACAAACAAAGAAAAAAAGGGAATCGAAAGAACGATAATAGGCGGAAATGTGAAGAAGAAGAAGAAGAAAGTATAGTAATATGGAAGAACAACAGGTACTTTGATTGGATACTAGGTGGCAACTAGTGTAATGTGTCCAGTTCTTTTATTTGATGCAGACTGAATTCTATGAGGAAAGTTTGAAATGGTTCGCCATCACTGTGCGCTCTGACAGGTGACTCACTATCATGGTAAACTTTGAATTAATGTTAGCTGTCGTTGGAGGCAGTTGTCAGGATGTCTGGGGGGTTTAAATTTTGTGGCTGTTAACACATGTCGGTCTGTCTGTTTTCGACATAGGACTTTGCACAAATGTGCGACAGTTCAAGTCGCCACACTCCCTCCATGTAGCACACAAAGCAAGGGAAGAAAGTAGAAGAAATGCAGTAAACAGAGTTTTGAGACAAAGGAATAGTAATAACGAAGAACAATCTAGTTTCATTGGAAATCATAAGTCACAAGGAGTGGAGCATCTGCGCCAACCATTGAGAACGATTTTGAGCCATGTCACCAATTGTTTCCAACCATTGGTTTTTACCGTCCCGAGGACCTCAAACAGTCAGGAAGTCTACACCTTTCTACGTGGCTTAGACCAACTGTTGTGGATTTCATTGACTGATGCCAAGTTTTTGTTTGACCGCCGCTAGCTTTTGTCCAGCCTGACCCTATATCCACTAACATAGCTCGTCGAGGGAGGCGAGGAAGTCTACACCTTCCTACGTGGCTTAAACTAACTGTTGTAGATTTCATTGACTGGTGAAGGCATGTTTTGGTATGACCGCCACTAGCTAGCTCTTTTCTAACCTGACCCTATGTGAGCTAACATATCGATGAGGCATATCTGAAACTCTATAGGAAATGATTTCCCCTCACCCATTGTTGCTGTCAGAGCATGTTAGCACTAATCTACTGGAGTTTAAGATTGGCCTTCTGTAGAACTGTAGTAGATCCTCCGATTTGTCACTGGGAAGTAAACAGTGATGGGTCTAGCTCCTTCTTAGTTTTAACGCTGGGTGAATTCCATTAGTCAGTTATTTTGGATGATTCAAAAAATGCAATGCATTTTGATTTGACAAACTTTAGTCAACAGCAACCCTTCAAGACAAATGACATTAGCTTCACCCCACTAGTGACCAACCAATAAGTTCATTACAGTCATATAGGAAATCAATCGTCAGCTCGAATAGCTAAGTCTCTGAGTGTATCACTGACTAACGCACTGGGTTCAAATTTCTAAGATGTCATCAGTTGTAAATACGCCTCACTGAAGGATGCAAATAAGCAAGAAACCTACATTAAGGGCACAAAAGCTGGAACAACAAAACTTGTACACTCAAGAATCGACAAACTGCGTGAAAATGTGACAGTCCAGTACAACTAAACATCTACTCCTAATACTTTATTTACGCAATACATAATACTAGATCATATTGTCATATTTTTCGGACCCTTCGTTTCGGGTAAGCTTCATGTCTTTCAAATATCAGTAGCGGTGGTATTGACTTTATGGAGTGGGGCTGCTAATCTCACACTCAGTCTCCCCTCGTTTCTGACCTCACTATTCGCAAGTGAAGTAGGAGAGATTTAGGAGTATGTTTTGGCCCGGAATCGAATCGGGATTAATGACACATTGGTAGTAGAGCGTATTTACGACCCAACCAAGAACCTCTGGGTTAGGTACTAACCACGCTTACAATTAGCTTATTATACGAACACTTGACTATATTCAGTAAATATTACATAAATGCAAGATAACTCACCTTTGTAAAGTCTGCGACAACAACACGTGTTTTCACCCCATAAGACGATTCAATCTCTTTAGCAACTTTATTCAATTTCTCTAAATTTCTACTAATCAGCATAATGTTTAAGCCATCTTTAGCCAGTTGTTCAGCATAAGCTTTACCTATTCCATCCGTAGCCCCTGTCACTATGGCCCATTCACCTGCACGCTTTAATTGTTTTCTTTTTGAAAATAATATTTTCCCAATTGTATAATTGAAGAAAACTTTCAACAGTGGAAATAGGTAGACAGCGAATATTATCGTAACCACCAAGAGGTGGCAAAAAGAAACAGAATCCCACGACCAGTCTGTCAGAATCATCCCTCCTTTTACCAGGAAACAAAGAAAAAGATATTTTAAAAATAAAACATGAACTTTATATTGGTGATGAAGATTACATACTATAACGCTTATTCATTGGGGTTCTACTATCATGAAACCATCAAAACACATTTGTTTTGTAACATTAAACGATAAGACTCTTTTAATCAGTCTACTGTCACTAGATAAAACATTGAGCACATGTAGTGTAAATGTACTTCAGTTCTGAAACTTACAGATAATACCCAATAGTCCCAAACTGGGACGAAACAGCTGTCCAGTACTCCCTCTGCAGGTTTTCCAATGGTTTTCTAACCAATGTCAGCTCATGATAAAATCCTGTAACCAATCAATCAAATCACTACAAACCAATACTTAAATATTAAATCATAATATTCTGGAGAAATAGAAAGATGTTTTGGATGCAAACTTTTCCCGGAACAAGCTGCAATCATGAAAAGCTAATCAGGATCAGGTGAGGATCAAATTGCAACACTAAACATCGTCGAACACAGCATAAAATAGCAATCAAATCTCTACTTATGAAGGGAAAAGCGTACAGCGAGGAGTTACTCTCTTCACTGGTATTATTCTCAAGCTGTACAATCGCATCCATATATATAGTAAATTCCTCTGGAAACAAGAGGAACACTTGCAAAGATGTCATTCGAACTGTACATTTTAGATAACAAATTACGCAACACGGAAAGTGTTAATCAGTTAGAAACAAATAAACTAAGTTGAGTGACGTAATATAATTAGCGGGACTGAGTATAATTCAGCTTAAAATGAACGAGAGTCAAATTGACAACAGTATTATTAAGGAGTCATCATGGCATTTTCCACAGCAGGAAATTCTAAACTTCTTAATTCATATGGCAACCCAAATTACAAAATAAGCGTATTAAAATGATTCACATCAGAAGACTCGGAAAGTGAACACCACAATCCGGTAATTTTGAACAGTGATCTCTCTTCGAGGATGCGAAATTCCTTTAGAAAGTGTTCACAGATGGAGCCAATACCATTTGATCAGATAAGTCCCAGTCTTTAACCACCCTACACGAGAATATAGATTACACACATATTTTGCTTGAAAAAGACTTGGAAACTTTTTGATGACCTTTAGGAAGTGTATTCTAAATGGACTGGAAAAGGTGAATACCCTAATCACATTTTGATAAATGATTAACCGTCATTAAGTGACCTCAATCAATATGATAGTGAGGAGAAACTTTGTCACAAGAAAGGAGGAACAGAACAGATTGGGACCAAGATGATCTAGCCCGGTCATCAAGAAAACGTGCTCAGACTGTGTTTGGACAAAATAAGTGTGAAATTTAAACTCTAATTATATTCTCGAATGGGTGGTTAAGGACTTGGTCTCCTTATCTGACCATGTGGAATTGACTCCGCCTATGTACCCTTTCAATCAAACTCTAAAAGGATGGAGATTAGGGTTACACCGAATAAAACTTTACAGTTAACCACTTCGAAGACTCCCCTACTATCCGCTTATTACGATGCTGGACCTGCATTTCATCACCTGGATCTTGAATGCTAGTTATAATTAGTGACTGCATTTACTTTATTTATCAATGCAAACGTATTTCGAGGCTAATACTAAAAAGAGACCGTTGCACTCACAAGGTTGCTTTTGTAACGCTACAGTCAAACTGTGCACAACATCCAATATCCTAAATTTCAGATTTTCAGATTGCTTGGTTGAGGATAGAAGGATTGGAGATTTCTGTGCTCGTCCAAACCCTTCTTGAACGAATCAGCTGAGGCTGCAGACGCCACTTCTTCTGGAAGTCGGTTCCAAGAGCTTATCCAATATCCAATATCGTTTTTACGAGCTAGTATAAACCAATTTTATTTCTTTGTGCTCGCTTCTTGATTGTAAGGTATAGGTTCCTGATCTTCGGCAAACTTCTGCGTAGCTTATCCTGCCACTCGACTGTCGTAGCTCTGGCTGACTCCAAAGGGATTAGTACTGGGATTAATTATATGTGGTTTGTTTAAGGTATGTTAAGACTGTTACTACTGTGATTGGAGTTGATCCTTTCCCAGTTAGTCCCTCGGTATCGTCGACAGGAGAAAAGAGATAGTAATAATAATAATAGATACAATTAGTGAAGTAATTCAGAATAAGTGACAGAAACGGAAATGGGAAATGTAACAACAGTCAGTTCATTAAGTTTGAAGAATAATATATATATATATCGGCAATAATAATAATAGTAATAATATTAATAAGTTGTCAGGAGAGTAAGACGGGAGAGAATGTAAAGAAGTAAAACGACGAGTTTAATTGTCTACCTCTGAATGGTATATGCGATTTTAAAGAGATAGGCCATTTGGATGACTAGATGTGAGAACCAGTACTCAACAGCAATATAATTTCTCCTTGGCTTTTGAACTTTCCTGCTATGTCCTCTAAGGTGTTCCGATCTGGTGGGGAGGAAAAGAGAGAATAGATCAGGTCCGTAGTCATTATTTAAAATTTTAAAAATTGTGATTAAATCTCCTCTCTGCCTACGATATGACGGGGAGAAGAGATTTAAACTGTCTAGTCTTTCCTCGAATGATAAGTTAGCTATGCCGTGAACTATATGTGTTGCCTTCGTTTGAACACTTTCTAGAATGTGTGAATCCCCTTTTAGATAAGGACTGACGGCCAGGATGCAGTTTTTCAGTCTTGACCTAACCAGAGATGTATATAAGGAGGTGAACATATCTCTGGTAATTCTTGTAAAGGCTCTGCGAATCGCCCATAAGGACCTGAAACTACGTGCAGCCATCGCGCGACAGTGTGCTTTAGTTTATAGGTCGTGGCTAACTATGACGCCTAACTCCAAGTGAGTCTGAACTGATGGAAGTGTTATTCCCTCTAATTCGTATGGGCTTGTGTTTGATTGTCCAATGCGCATGGTTTCACATTTTGCCACATTGATCGGGAGCATCCATTCAATGGACCACTCCGACAATTTGTTGAGGTCCTCTTGCAACGTGAACGCATCACTGTTGCTCTTCAGCTCTCTCCAAATTTTTAAGTCATCTGCGTATAGGACCATAGGGGACCCTTAATCTTAAGGTTCTTCTCACCATTCCGGCGTCGCTCACTTAATTCTAGTGCCGCAGCCTGTCTTTTGACACGGTCTGCTAGGCTTAATTCAGCGCGGACATATATCCCTGATCCTTTGAGAATATGAGAGTTGCTTAGAATAACATTCCTCTCTTCTTTCGAGTTTAGTACGACTTTGAGGAGACGTACAGGCTGACTTACTGTAGGGTCAGGCTTTTGGCTTATTCTGCATACGCTGTTTATATTAATGCCTGATACTGTTTGTGGCAGTAGCTTGTCTAAAAGGGGCTTGACCAAGTTAAGGTCATGCTCGAATTTGGCCTTAGGATCGAGGGCCAGTGACTCTTCCATTTTGTGGAGAATGAGAGACCTGTCAGAGAGATCGGGTTTGCTTTCAGTGACTTTCTTGCCCTGAGGCGTAAGTGTGATTCTATCCTTCTTGGGCGGTGTAGCCAATGTGGTAGCCTTATCTTGCTTTTTCTAAGAGACTACATTACGCCATTCACTGGCGTCCTCCTCGCTAATCGTAGTGGGATTTACCTGTCTGTTCCTCACCGGTGTGGATGAGACTTCATAATAATACTTTATATTTTCATATAAACATAAATGTACATGAAAATGCATGCCATTTTTACAGTCACGATCAAGTATGGTATAAGGTCAAATCTTAGATTGTCTACGAGTTAATAATGTTTCAACAGTTAAATATTTGATACATATATATAATTACACTCATTGTCTGAACTAGGCTGTATAGTTATTGAATTGTGCAGTTGTCCTCCAGGTTTCGCGGGAAAACTGACTTCGTTTCGTTTTCATCCCGTGGTTGTAGGCATGCGATAACCAACCAATATTGAGGTAAGTACAACGTTTACAAGGGATTGGAAGCTGTTTCAGAAAAGTCAGAGTGCTAATGTGAATCATTAAAGTGTAATAAATTAAGCAAGTGCAATATATCATTAATAAATACATTTATATAGAAAACAGAATGGGGAAGTAATTAATCCTTAGGCCGACAACGTTCATTTGCAATGTATAATAAAACCAATATATTTTGTACTATCTTGATATCCACTTTTGGCTTTAATACAATTATTTTCAAGCCAGTTGTTTTTATTTCATGCCTTTTTGTGCATTTGGTGCACAACCGTACCCTCCAGAGAATAGGAATAGAATAAGTCGAATCAAACTCATAAAGAGCTATAAAATGTTAGGTTTAATGGAATATAATGAGGATCAAGTAAAGACGTTATTAGAAAATGAATGAGATAAGACATTGTGAAGTGGTATTCAAAGATCCGACAATGGACAGCAAGTTAATTTATAAGATGCCCCATAAATCTGTGCAGGTCCCGCGTGGTCGCATCTCAACAACAGGCTGAGCGAATGGTGTATATTCAAAGGTAGAAGCATGATCTGTCAAGGCGTTCATCATTATCTTTTTCAAGATAAAGATCTAAGCTCTCATAAAAATCATGGAAATCTCGTGCCGTCAAATCGCATATTGCTGTTCCTGCAGAATGGGGTGATTCACCTTAGTGACCCCCACCATATCTACTGATCAGCTAGCGCCACCCTCCCTCCTTTTTTGATGTTAGGCTCTGAGACTATGATTATTATGGCTACCGTAAATATATTGCTTGGTACCAGACATGTTCGTACCTCGTATTCCATCTCCCTAGCTTTCTTAACGAGTGCTTCCAATAGGTCCAATAGGCAGTGTACACATCACTGTTTTGTGGTCGTTCCCTGGAAACTCAGAACCTAATAGCATTGAAAGAGGTTTTATATTGTGGTAGAAGATTAAGTCTAGTACGTTATTACCTTTTGTGGGAGTAGTGACAGTTTGTTTCCAGCCAAGTATATCCAGTGTGTCTAAGAACTTATCAAATTTAGTTGGGCCTGTGGGTAT